ATATTTGCTCTGGGTTTCTGTAATTCAGAGCAACAAAAACCTCTCCTCCTAAGAAACTGTGTAAGAAGCTTGTCCTGTATCAAAGAACCGTAACTCCAGCCTCCAAACACAGGTCTTCACAGTGGAGTACAACACTGTTTGGGTGTATCTCTGGCTTTGAAAAGCAGAAAAAGTGTCTTTTAAAACACAAAAGGTGTTCAAGGACTGGAGAGGTGCTGGTACTTGTTTGCAATGCAAACACGAGGACCTGAATCTGAGCTCTGGACTCACACTAAGCCTGGCACTGCTGGGCATGGTGGCACCTGTCTTTAATCACACCACTTAGGATACAGAGGCAGGGGAATTTCTGTAAGTTGGAGGTCAGCCTGGCCTATATAGGTAGTGCCAAGCTCGCCAGAGCTATATAGTAAGACTCTTCCTAAAAAAGAAAAAGAAAAGAAAATGACAAAAAAGGGTATGGTGCCATGTGCTTGAAATCCCAGCATTGGAGGTGGAAGCAGGAGGATCCTGGAGCAGGCAGGCCAGCCAGCCAGCCTAGGCTAATTGGCAAGCTCCATCAAGAGATTCTGTGCAGAACCAAACCAAACTAAACAAACAAACAAACAAACAAACAAACCAACCAACCAAGGTGCACAACTGCGAGTGACTCCACTTCCAGGAGATCTGTTGCCCTCTCCTGGCTTCCATAGGAACTGCGCACGTGTGGGACACACACAAGCAGTCACACCCATGGAAACAAATAAGACATTTGAAAAAAGAAAGCAGAGTGCACAGCACCTGAGGAACAATACCAAGGTCGAGCTCTGTCCTCAACAGTGCACGTATCCAAACGTATGAGAACACACACACAGGTGTTTTCAAATCATGAGCAGGACCACCGTCTGCCTTGTAAAGGAGCTACAGGACACACCAGACAGCAGTAAGACAGCACGACTCTCTGAGGTACTGTCGTCTCCAGGAGGATGAGCATTTTGGGAAGCACTACAGGAATCACAGAGTGGCGTTAGGTCCCAAAGGAGCTCAAGACAAATGGCTAACTGAGGTGCCTATTAACATATCGAAGTGGATGCAGGACACCAGGCTCTCAGCACAAGTTCCTGTTACAGAGCCTGGCTCCTCTCAGCACTTGTCACCCCTACTCTAAGCCTCTCTAGCCCCTGAGCTTCACTGCCCTTCTCCCAGCTTCTCTTTCCTATACAACCTAGCCATTTTGGCTATCTGTTCTCTTTGTCCATTTGCCTCTTGGCTTCCTTCTTGGTTCTCTCAGTCCTCATTCTCTTGGGTTTTTTTCTCCTCCTTTCTTGATCCTCTTGGCTCTTGGCTCCTGGTCCCTCTCTTATGGCTCTCTTCCTCTCCCCTCTCTCTCTCCTCTCATGGCCCAGTCTATTCTTCTGGCTGTGTTCAGTCTGGACTCTTCCAGATACCTCTGGCTGAACTCTCATATCTACAAAAAAAACCTTCTCCTCAGCTATATATCCAGGAGCAGTCATGTCCTCACTTTCATTCAGTGGGTAACATTCACAGCAATCCCATGTTACTGTCACTCAGGGTGACCTGGGCCAGGTAGAAGGTAGGTGAACTTGTGCCTGTGGCAAGTACAAGCTTACAAACAGCTTCCCCAGACATGAGGCATATTCACGCCCCTGAATGATGGCTCCTCATCAGGACACTGGAGTTACTCCCTGAAGTCACTACTTTTGACAGCTCAGGATGGGCAGATCTGACTCAGAGATAAGTGCCCCTCAGCGAGGCTGTCGGCACCCCCCTGGTGTGAGGTGCAGCACTTCCTTCTTCCTTAGAAGACTGACAGTCCACCCTGACCAGATGAGAAGAGGGACTGGCTGAGAAGGCGTGGCAGCCAGCCACCCACACTGGATGCCGGGGCCAGAGATTAGCTCGGGGCTTGGCAGGACCCGGCCCTCCGATGGGGGCTGGGACACACATCAGCTGTTCCCACAGCTGATCTGGCTGGTGCCCTCTTCAGAAGAGCCTGATAAATCTTGAGTTGTCCGCATGTGTGTTGGGCTTTGTTCCTGCTGAGAGTCTGTGATAAATTTCTAAACTTTACTAAACTGACTCTTACTCTATCAGCTTGGTGGTGGATGGTTGCATCATGGAGAATTAGCATGTGCCAAGGAGACAGGAATCCAGTGAGACTCAGTAGAGCAAGAGCCTTCATCTCACAGCACTGTCTTCCTTGCTGAGGAAGGGCTGGAAATGCTACCTAGTTCTTAGTATATTATGAAGCTAAGACACCTATTTGTCAAGAGAAAAGGTCAGAATTCTCCATGAAGAGATCTGAACAGCTCCATTTTCACCTCCACCAACTTTAATTTGTTTCCTCTCATTTGTAACCCATCACCACAGGGATGGTGGACAGCTTCTGTCCCTGGAGCACTTGACAACTGTGGTGATTTTTTTTTTTTTAATGTACATTGGTGTTTGGCTGTCCATGTGTCTATGTGAGGCTGTCAGATCCCCTGGAACAGGAGTTACAAACAGTTGTGAGCTGTCTCATGGGTGATGGGAATTAAACCCAGGTCCTCCAGAAGAGCAGTCAGTGCTCTTAATCTCTGAGCCATCTATCCAGCTCTCTACATGGTGATTTTTAGTCATTGCACATGAACCAGCCATCCAGCCTATATTCTTGAGACCAGTTCCTTTCGTGACTGCGTACAGGCTCACTGTGATCCAGTCTCACCCTAGCAAGGCATTCACTGAGCAAGATCAAGATGGAAAGGAAAGAATGGCGCCTCACGGCTACGGGGCTAGTGCAGTCCCCAGCCAGTTAGGATCAAAACGAGACGATTGCAGTTTAACCTAGTCCTGAAAATGCTGCTTATGTTTTGTTGGGGTCCAGAAAGTCTGCAGTTCCTTTCTCGGGCACAAACCCTGACCCAGATGTGGCCCTGTGGCTGTAGAAAACTGCAGATAAAGCCTAGGAGGAGGGTCCTTCAGGACAAAATAAGATCACAAGGGCAGGGAAGTGCAGAAGGAAGAATTCAGATAAAGGGGTAAAAAGATACTGTTTGCTCAAGCTCTGCTTGCAGTGCTCTCTCTCACACCTAGCTACACAATATATAAACAGCAGTGGGAAAACAACAAATGTTTATTTTTGAAGTCATCCCAGAATCTTGTGGTTCTGTTTACCATTATCCTCCTTCCCTGGTCCCTGCGATGCCCACAGTTGTGGCCACAGCAGTGTTTCCTCCTCTGCTTTGTCTTCCCACCACCCCTAAGCCACCCTACACTGCTGCCAGAGTGCTTTCACCCGGACACAAACCCTGCTGGCCTTGAACTCTCAAGCCTCCCAGCGAGCATGGCTAGCATGATGTAAGATTTGAAGGCAGACTTGGCTGTTTGCCTCTCCAGCTGTCTGTCTCTCCTTCCACTGTGTTCTGCGCTTTGCAGGCCACACTCCAGTTGTGGTGAGTTGCTTGTCACTTTAGAGATGTGTCAAGTGGCCTCTTGTATCCACAGCTTTAGCTCAACCCCTGCCTGGGATTTTTTTTTTTCACCTAACACCCTCTTACAAAGTCACCTCCCCAATTTCTACACAAGCTAGTCACTTTCTCCCCTAAATTACTCCTTACGTCATCATACTTCCAACCTCCCCCTGTGTTACTATGCATGTACGTGAAATACAGAAAGAAGTCAACGAAGCACTCAGACACTACACCATACCTATACCTCTGTCTTCCTGCACGGCAAAGCCAGCAGGAGCAGAGAACACAGATACTCGGCTCTTGAAGGCTGCCATCTAGCACATCTGGCAGTCTGTAGACTCTCTGAGCATGGCTTGCTCTTTGGTTTGGTTTGGTTAGGGCAGGATACCTAGAACTCACTCTGTAGGCCAGGCTGTTCTCTGAACCCACAGAGATTTGCCTGCCTCTGCCTCCCAAGTGCTGGAATTAAAGGCGTACGCCACCACCGCCCAGTGGGCATGGTCTACTCTTGAAGAGGGTCGTAAATGTTTTTAGCTACCAAACAAAATTTATGAGCCCTGCGCAGAGCTTTGTCAACTTTCCTGCCAAGTTCAACTTAGCTGATGACACTGATCTAAATATCCCCGTCAGATGACTGATCTGAAAATTGATGACTAGAAAATTTCCTTCTCACAGAAATCTAAATGGGCTCATTCAAAAGAAAAAAAAATGAACAATTTGTACAGCTGACAGCACTGTAACCACTCACTGCTATGTCACTATCTACCAGTTAGTTAGCTAGAGAGCTTAACAGCCCTGGGCAGGGTGGCTCAGGGAAAGAACACTGTCGGTGTAAAGCCTGGGAAGCCAGACAACCAGGCCTTTATACACAGGTTCTACCTACCCACTCCAGGAGGCAGGAATGTGCCCTGTGTCCTCTGTCTTCATTTTGATCCTGAAGGAGACCCTGGCCTTCATTTGTAGAAAGAACACTAGCCAGGAGCTAGAACCTCTGACTGGCTGCAGTAAAATGTAAGAATGATGTGTAACACCCACTTAAATCCTTGCAAAGCTGTGATAAGATGGGCTCAATGTATCTGTGACAGACGTGAGGGACCAAGTCAGAATGATCTGCCCAAGAGCACACGGCCACCAAATGCCAGAGCCAGCGTGCATGCTTAGGCTAGAAGCCCACTTTCCCAACCAACATTCTAGAGGACAAGTATTTTCTGATGCTAAAGGAGAAGCTTCAAAATCAATGGCCAAGTTTTATGTGTGCCATTCTATGATCTTAAACAACTACAAAGGAGACTTTTTTCCCAACTCTTTTGCAGAGAAAAGAGTAGTGATTTGGAGCCATTGTGAATGCAGAACACCTGGATCAGATCTTGCCTGCGCTGTGTGGTACTTACTACCTTAGTCCTCAAGTCTCTGAGGTGCAGGGAATGCTATTACCTGGAGAAATATGAAGATGAAATGACACACATAAAAGCCAAACGAGTGTTCAGTACCAGGGCTGGGAACTAACTGAGCAAAGCAAACAGAGGAAAACCCCTCCCAGAAGGCACCACTCACAGAAGCCAGCAGCCGCCCATCTTCCTTCATAGCCAGGTACCGGTTTGCACACACTCCTTTGATAGACACAACGCCTCTCTCTTCTGCTTGGAGTTGTAGTTTGACTGTAAGTAATAGAGAAAAATTATGGCACCGGAGAGCAAAGAAGCAGCCCCACAATACCCAGATTACACACATAACACACCACATATACACAAGCACACACATACACTCAAACACAAACACACACACATGCACACACACAAACACAGCACACATACAAAAAAACACACATATGCACTCACACAGGCACACAGGCACGCGTGTTCGCGCACAGACACACAGCACACACCCTGCCTAGCAAGGCGCTGATCCAGTGTGCAGACCAGCAAGATACAGAAGAAGCGAGGTGGATATCGCCCGAGCTGAGCAGGAGTGGAAAGGAGGCAGAGCCCTCGTGCCATGCCCTGACTCCCACTGTCACTCCTATGCCCCACAAAGGACAGAGGAGGAACAGGAAGGAGGACAATTACCCTTGCTGGTCTCATATGGCACTGTTAACCGCTCATGTTTGTAAACAGTTACCACATGATCCAGCTAGTCCACTCCTGGGCTTATACCCAGAGGGCTTTATACCATACCAGAGACATACATCTGTGTGTAAACTGCTATGCTGCTCACTACAGCAAGGAAACTGAGCCGCCCTAGCTGTTCTCAACAAATTAATAGGTAAGGAAAATGTGCTGCATGTTCAAATTGGAATATTCTCCAGCTGTAAAGAGAAAAATCATGAAAATTTCAGGAAAACGGGTGGAGTTTTAAAGTACAAAATTAAGCAAGCTGACCCAAACTCAGAAAGAACATAACTTTCATTTCCTCTCACATGCAGATCCTAGCCCATGATATAAAAGCATGTGTCAAGCAGGTACAAGTGTGAGGATAGCGTTTACAAAGGAGAACGAGAAGATCAGGGGATGAGGAAAGACAGAGCACAGCAAAGGATGCGTGGGGCATCAATGGGGATACAAGGCCAACTTTCCTAGTTTCAATTCTGTCATAGCTTTTTTTTTTTTTCTCTCTCGCTGTGGTGAGTATGTGAATAAAAACACAGCTGAAAATGGGAATGTAAGATCCTTCACAAAGCTCCATGGCTTCAGAATGGCCAGTCTAACCATATGCTAAGTTTGGGACTGGGAAAGCATTTGAACAGCTTCCCTAAGCCAGCTGTGTGATGTCTTTTTATTTATTAGTTACTTAGAACAAAGTGTTTTAAAAATAAAATAAATGTATTTTAAGACTACATGGAAATGAGGATATTTGTAAGATGTTTGTGCAACTGCTTCAACATTTTTAAAGTCCTGTTTGGCCAATTTTTCACAAGTAAAGGTCAGTCTGATCCTCTGCTGCCTCGGGAGCTATTTCCCAGCTTCCTCACATATTATTTCTGCCTTATCTTTCCATTTTCCAATAGCCATCTTTCCTTTTGAGGACTTTCTGCTTGGCTGTTCTTGTTCTTATAAACGTCTGTGGAACCCCAACATGCTTACACACGTGATACGCTCAAGCAGGGTGACCTACCACACACATTAATGTCAAGCAGATTTCAGGGAAACAGAACCACATATTACCTGGTTATGATAATGTGATTTGGACAAAAAAAATTATCTAATTATTATGAGAGTGAAATGAAGTTAAACGTTTCTATTTTGCTGTTCGGAGGCAGCATTTGCCTGCTTGGACAGCCTTCCCCAATTTATATTTTGGCTAACAAATGTTAAAAAAAAAAAAAAGTCCTGCGGTCAAATAAATTTTGTGCCTTCTTAACAAAGCCCAAAGTGTGGGAAAAACAAAAACAAAAACAAAAACAAAAACAAAAAATCCTGACCGAATCTGCGTAGGGAGAAACATTTATTGTAGCGCAAGGTTCCAGGAGGTACAGTCCACTGTAGGAGGGAAGGCATGGCACACAGATCATGGGAGTGGGACAGAGTGATTCATATTTCTATTGTGGTAGATCAGCAAGTAGAAAAGGGGCCAGAAATAGTGCCAGCGTATCACCTCTAGTGACCTACCCTTACCAACCCGGTCCAATCTAATCCCCAAACAGCACCCAGTTGGGGACAAGATGGTCAAGTGTGCAAGCCCATGAGGACCACTTCAGACTCAGAATAGCACCAAACTTCACTGCCAAAATTCTCACAGGTTTCCCCAGTAATACCTATGATGTAAGCTATTCTAACACAGTTGGGTACAGAGTGTTCATCAAATGTGTTTGGTCACAGACAGAAGGAAGTTCTCCAGTACAAATAGCGCAGGGGTCCATCTGGACACAGCTCAGAGGAGTCAAAAAAAAAAAAAAAAAACAAACCTGATGACAGTTCAAAACTTTAGAAACCAGTGAAATGTGTTTGTGAGGTAAATTGATTTCCCTTCTGTTTACAAGTAGCTAAGGGAACAGCACAGAACGGCTTCTGAAAGACTCTGAAATACTTACTAAAGTTGCTAGATATGACAAATTTGCAGTGACTGTATCACACTGTTTTTCCTACCAAGAAATCACCACGTAACAAGAGACCTAATATATGAGATTAGCTTTAAAACACTCTGGCAGGTACAAGTGTCTATGGAGTAGGAAGGTAGAAGTAAAACAATTGGTGTGTTTCAAATCTATGTGGAACATGGTATTTCCTGATTCCACTCTATATTAGATATGTTTGAGAGCTCATACTAAGAGAAAGAGAGAGAGAGAGAGCTCTAATGGTCATGTCATTTTCTGCTCTCTCTGTGCTAGTCAATGCTGGCTGCAGAGAGCACTGGCTTCAGTTATGCCCACAATTACCTGAGCCAAACTCTTCTACTGAATTTACAATATAACACAAAACGAATATAATGCAATCAAAACACAGAACCTAAACAAGCGAGGACAGGAAACCTCACAATATCAGTGAGAAAAGCAAAGGCACTAGATTCTAGTAATGATTATACACTACTCATTAGACCAGCTCCAGCCTACTCCAGAATAATCTGTTAGTCTGTGTCTTTTAATTAGGGGATTGAAACCATTAATAGTAAAAGTCATCAACAAGCAGTGTTTAATGATTCCTGTTACCTTGTTGTTAGAGTGTGGGTGGAAAGAGGCAGGCAAGTTGAAAAATGAAAATAGATATGGAAAATGTGAAATGAACTCCTTAACACAAGCTGGTGTGGCAACTGTAACACATACAACCCAGGCCAAGGCAAGAAGGCCAACCAGCATGGTCCACAATGGCAGGATGTCAGGCATCTTACACAGACAGTGAATGACAGAAGTCTAAAGTATTTGAAACAACAGCAAACTGACACAGAGAGCTAAATGCATCAAAACTACAGCATCATCAATCAGCTCGACCTGTTAGATCAGGTAGACGTCAGATAACATGTCTTTAACCTGTTAGCACCACCATCATTTCAGCAGGATGTGTAAAAATACGAACCCCACCAATATGGTATGCCATCCTTACCAGCGTGCCCTCTGGAGGTGCTCAGTCCAAATAGACTGATTCTACCCAAGGAGGTTTTTTTTTTTTTTTTTAATCAACATGATATTCAGTGACATTGAAGGCTGAGGAGGTGATGTCAGTAGTAAAAGCTTCATCTAACACAGGATTCCACTTCCAGAACCCACTCCAAGCCAGTGAGAGACTATCTCTAAAAGAAGATGAGAAAAACAACTCAGAGCAGAAAGATTGTATTATAAATTGGCTTATGCCTTCTGAGGACTGAGTCGGCTGATGTCGCGGTGTGATTTTTCTGTTGCTGTCATAAAACACTGGCCAAACTCAACTTAGGAGTTGTGGTATAAATAGGAATGGCTTCCACAGGCCCACAGAATTGAATGCTTGGTCATCAGGGAGTGGCACTATTAGGTGGAGTGGCCTTGTTGGAGGAGGTGTGCCACTTGGTATGGGCTTTGAGGTTTCAGAAGCTCAGGCCAGACCCAGTCTCACTCTCTTCTGGATGTAGAACTCTCAGGTCTCCAGCACGATGCCTTCCTGCATGCCACCATGCTTCCTACCATGATGATAGTGGACTAAACTTCTGAAACTGGAATACAGCCGCAATTAAATGCTTTCTTTTATAAAAATCGCCATGGTTGTGGCATCACAGCAGTAGAATACGGCCTAAGACATCAGGGAAGGAAGGGGCTAATTTCAGCTTCTATCATACGGTCTTACATTTTGTCCTCAAGACAAGCCATGGCAGGAACTTAATACAGGAACAGAAGCAGGGACTGTAGAGAAACCTTATTTACTATCTCGCTCTCTGACTTGTCAGCCTTCCCAGGGGTGGCACTGCCCATGTCAATCCTTAATGACAAAATGTCCTGTTGTTTTTAAACAAAACCACAAATGTTCGATTTTACCAATAAAGACTCAGCATCCAGATGTTATTTGATCCTCTTCACAGAAATCGCTTGAATTAAAGGTGTGTGCTAGGGCCAAGCTACACCACAACTAGAAACAGGTTTTTCCAGTACACAATCTCAGGGTTCTCAGTGTGATCAAATATCCTACAACAACTCCCTGCAAGCTTGCCCACAGGCTAATCCAATGGAAGCAAATCCTCACCTGGAATTCCCTCTCCCCAGATTACCCTAGTTTATATTAATTTGACAAGAACTGACCGGCACAGTCAGCTCTGTTGCTTTGAGCCTGCCATGGGGCTGAGAAGCAGCATGGAGTAGTAGAGCTATTCACCTCGTGTCAGCGGAAAGCTGAGGCAGCAAGGAAGGGTGAGTGGGATATGACCAATCTCCTGTAACCGACTCCCTCTCCTAACAGTCCATTCAGCCACGGACTCACTCACTAGTGAAGCTACAGCCTGTCAAGATCCAGTCACCTTTCCTGGAGCCCATGAGCTAGTATTCAAGGCTTTGCTATATGAGCTGACAGGTGCGGGGGAGTGGGGTGGGGGCTTTCCAGTCAAACCATGATGTAAATAAGAGATATACACATCACACAGCAGAAAGGACATATAATTTAGCTTGAGAGATCAGAAGTCTCTTGGGAACAGAGAAAATTGAATGGAGACAGAATGAGCAGTTGATCAAGAAAAGAGACAACCAACAAGAGAGCATCTTACATAG